CATGGCTCCATTAAAATAATTATGTCATGATTAAATATACTTTTTATTTCTCATTGAGCAAAATAGCCTAGTTTTTAATTCATTCTCTGTTTACCATTTAGCTTCTTTTTTCTCCTCCAGGCATGACTTGGTTTCTTAAGTCCAAGTTTTGAACAAGTTAATGGAAAGATTAGTTAATATACCCTTATTAAGTGACAGAACAGTCTGGAGCCATTACTAGATGACAGTATTGAGGGCTAATAAGGAATTTGTGTTCATAGTAAAGAATGTGTTACCAAAAGAGATTTTAACTTTTTGTATTTTTATTTTTCTCATTGAATAGCTAGTCATTTTTTACTAGCCACTGATGATCTCTTTTGGCCAGATGTGTAATAATTGCATTTATGTTGTCGCCAGGCTTGATGAAAGGTTTATTCTATAGTGTACAGAATTTATGAAGACATTTTTACCATAAAAGTGAAATCCAATTTGATCTTAATAACACTGTGTACCTTCAAGAAACAGAATTAAAATTTCTGAAACTTATGGTATAGCCCAGTACAGTTAAAATGTATAAAGGAATCTAGTGCAAGTTTTTTTAGGTCTTGGGAAATTAGGTTATTTACTGTTTTTGTTATTAAATGAACAATTGCCATTGTGAATGAAATCTTTTGTTAAATTATAAGGGAAAGTTTCACATGCAGCAAAATAATTCAGAAAATGTTTTTATAAATTTTTATAAAACTTGAATCTTAAATGTTTTTACCATTTACTGTATTGCTAGTCTTTTTACATTTGACCATAGTTCTGTGAAATGTAAACTTTTTCAAGAAAGCCATGAAAAGTAATTTAGATAATTATTTCTTAAATTTATGACTTGTGATAGTTTTGATATTAAAGACGTTTATCACTCCACAGAGCATTTTTATTTGAACTTTAATACAGTTGACCAGAATTGCAATCTAATTAAATATATGAATTTGTTCATTGGCTGATTTAAGATCCCTTTAATGATAATCATAATATCAAAAGTATTTCTTTTGGTTAAATTATAACAATATATTTACCATTACAAAAAACTACAAAACATTTGGTTAATCTTTCTGTGGGTAAACGGTGAAATAGGTAGCCAGACCAACATCTCTTCATTTTTTATTGGCTTGTGTCATGGGCTGTTCTACTTCTAAAAGCTTTAATCTTCTTTCTTTCTAGGGAATAATGTTTCCATAAATATAGAGGTAGACCCGAAGCATCCTACTATGCTTCCTGAGTGCTGCTTTCTTGGAGCTGACCATGGTATGAGATCTGAGATTTAAATGTTTTTTAATAGAATCATAAAATCCTTGCCTACCATTGTTAAATTATTAGAAAATATTAGTATATTAATGGTAGTTATTTTAAATGAAAATGTCTCAGCATTCTGAACTGTATAATTGTTTTTTTAACATAATACATATAATTTTGATTTTCTAATCAAGTAGTTAAGGAAACATTCTGTATCATCTGGCTTTACAAACCATGAGTTGAGCATGCAATTATTAAACTTTTTTTTTTTTAATCTCAAGTGGTAAAACCCCTGGGAATTAAGCTGAGCAGAAACATACAATTGTGGTAGGTACCTTGGCAATATAATTCTTACTTTTTGGTGATTTTACAAAGTTCATAGCATAATTTTTTTTCCCATGCTTTCAGGGATCCAGAAAATAGTGTGTTACAAAATTTGAAAGATGTTTTAGAAATTGATTTTCCAGCTCGTGCTATCCTGGAAAAATCTGTAAGTTTTATCAGTGCTTTGATACTCTAAACAGCATTGCATAATGACGTTTAAATGCTTCTCAGTGAAAAATGAGGCTGAAAAGGGAGGGAAGTGGAAAAATATTATAACACAGACTTCTGAAGTGCATCAAAGAACTTGTTACCTTTGATTGGCTGTTACATATGATTGTCTCTTGGAATAAGGGGATTGATTTCAGGGCTGCCCATGGATACCAAAATCTACACACATTCAAGTTCCACAGTTTCCCTGTGGGACCCATATAAAGAAAAAAGTCAACCCTCTGTATACACAGATTTCACAGAAACACAGGTTCTGCATCTCCCCAATACTGTATTTTTGTTCAGCATTTGGTTGAAAAAAAATCTGTGTATAAGGAGACCTGTGTAGTTCAAACCCATGTTGTTCAAGGGTCAACTATATACTTCTTTCATGGTCTTCAGTAGTGAAGTTATTAATGATGGACATTTATTAAAAATAAGGGGAAAGGTCCAAAGTAGCTAATGAGATATTTGGCTTTTCTACACAGTCTGTTTACTGATGGCTGAAGTACTGATTAGCTTCATATAAGTTGTGAAGCAGTATAGTTTCTCAAAATTGAATATATACCACTATATTGCAAAAATAATAAACTCAGAATTGATTTTTGACAAGGCTGCTAAGGTTGTAGACTACTAAATGGTGGTGGTTTTCTTTTTCCTTTAGTTATAGAATTTTGCTGCTTAGTAATCACTAATGTTAATTCCTATCTTTATATATTTATTAGGGACATTATATTGATATATGATATGGAAAAATTACTAACACTCAAACATCTTGTCAGCCAAAAATGGAATCTCTTGTTTAGCCTAGCTGTGTATATTTATTGAGTGAAAAAGGAAACACTCTACAGTAGCTTTGCTAGGTGTTAAATAGTGATGTAATTATATTTCCTATAATACAGCAATATAGTCACCTTTATAAAAACTATCTTTATATCTATAAAACATTCTTACTGATCTTACCTTGTGTTTTAAACACATAGGTGATTTCATATTCTAAAGTAGTTAGAAGAATTGTAATGTTCCCAGCACAAAAGGTAAATGTTGAGGTGATTAATATCTTAATTATCTTGATCATTACACACTGTATACATGTATCCAAATATCACATGTACCCTCCCAAATATGTACAGTAAGTTAGTGAGACACATATGCTTTTTATAAATATTTTTCTTTTGAAGGATTTTACTATGGATTGTGGAATTTGTTATGCTTATCAACTTGATGGTGCCATTCCTGATCAAGTGTGTGATAATTCCCAGTGTGGACAGCCTTTCCATCAAATGTGCTTATATGAGGTAAAAAACAAAAACATCGTCAAGACTTTTTTCAGCTAACACAACATAGGAAGCATGCCTGTTTGAAAGACACAGCATCTAAAATATGTTTAGTCTGTAGTGATCCTCTCTTTGGCCATCAACTCCTTTATCAGTTTACTCCAGATGCTTATGTGTGCTTCATTTCTTCATCACAGTTACTAATGATGAAGAAATGTCCTGAGGTATCCAAGAAGGGAGAAAATCTCTACAGCATACATTCATGGTCTAGCTTATTGACACATACAAATTAAACTGATTGTACATTGGAATCTTTTCTATAAATATCTTGTTACCACAATGTAAACGTCATAGATTTACCCAAGGTAGTGGTGCTTCAAAGTGGCAGCAATGAAGTGAAAATGGACTCAGCACTATGTAGTACCTATTGCCTTTCAGGCTGCATTTAAGAATAGAATATATTCTTCTCAACAACTTTTTCTGTTGAGAAGAATGCCTCTTGTGATCAGAATATCTCACAGCACTCAGGCAATGCCAGTTTATTTACTTTATGTGAAGTCTGCTTTCATTCCTGTCTTTAGTCATTTGCCCTAGTTGATACATGATTAACTGTCTGTGCAACTGTATACAGAACACCTTGCAATTGTATGGTGCCTTCAGTTTGAGTCTTCCTTAATATCACATCTTTACTTTTGTGATTAGAGGTAGCAGCAGTTGGTGCCATCTGTGCTTTGCCATTGGAGAACTTAGGCAGAGACATCTATTTACCTTATATAAAATCATAAAATACCAGGCTGAATTACAGAAATACTCTAAGGAAATATGTGCTTTCTGTGTAATTATGAGTATTCGTTTAATTTTTAAAAATTGACTACCTCATGCTTATAATCAATGGGTTGAAAATTAACCCTCTGTTAATGATTAAGACCAGAACTAAGAAATTTTCAAGAGCATACAGTATCTTTAATAGCAAGAGTTGTTAATTTGTGATTAACAGATTCAGGGAAAGTCTGAAGACCATGAACTTGTATGCATTATTTTTTATGTATGTCTATTCTGACGATAAAGAAAATGCACAGCCGGCCACAGTGGCTCAGGCCTGTAATCCCAGCACTTTGGGAGGCCAAGGCAGGCAGATCATGAGGTCAGGAGTTGGAGACCAGTCTGACTAATATGGAGAAACCCTGTCTCTACTAAAAATACAAAATTAGCTGGGTGTGGTGGCACATGCCTGTAATCCCAGCTACTTGGGAGTCTCAGGCAGGAGAATTGCTTGAACCCGGGAGATGGAGGTTGTGGTGAGTGGAGATCATGCCGTTGCACTCCAGCCTGGGCAACAAGAGTGAAACTTTGTCTCAAAAACAGAAAAAACAAACAAAAAAAAAATGCGTCATTTTCATCAAATTCTTAAAAGGGCCCATAATCTGGTTATAAACCAGGCCTGGTTTAGACTCAATTCCATGTTGATTTCCCTTGTTATTCTGCTATTGGCTCAGGAAATATACCCCTTACTTTTGTGAAACAAAATTAATGTATAAGGCTTCTGGAATAAAAACATAGTGCACTTAAAAAGGAAGGGAATGACATTTGGAGTATCTGTAATTATGCTGATGCTTCTCTTTTAAAATCTGCAGTGGCTGAGAGGACTACCAACTAGTAGACAAAGTTTTAACATCATATTTGGTGAATGTCCATATTGTAGTAAGGTAAGCAAATTGGTAATCATATCTCCTAAAATGTGCCTAGCTTTCAGTAATATATTCTAGAAGATAGACCTTTATATCAGCTTATTTAAAACTTTTGAAACACATTCTTTTCTGCATTTTTATTTTTCAAATTCTCTGCTCAAAAACATTAAACTCCTTTTCTAGATTTGCCAGGTGATCTCAAAGTTCAGAAAAGTGTTTTCCAAACTGTACTATGACACTATTTCTGGTATAAAGCAATTTTATTTTTTAGAATGTCCACAAGCTTTGTTAAAATATGGTCTCTTTTTAAAGCCAATTACCTTAAAAATGTCTGGGAAGAAACACTGAAATAAGGAGATAACATTTTGTGAAGAGCTGGAAACTTAAAAAATTATCAAAAGGACTTTCGATATCTTCAGAGAAAATATAAAGCAAGACATACTAACGTCAAAAGGACTGGTATGATGATGCTATAATAATAAACATCTGCCTTTATCTCTTCACTAAGAGTAAACTGGGAAATTGTAGACCAAAGTCCTGTTGGACTTTCTAAGTCTGTGATACCCGGACTGACTGTGGTAGTGTATTTATAATACCAAGATGGAGATCTTGACTTCTTGAATATATCTGGACTGGTAAAATCTTGATGAGGTTCATAAAATGAGTTTGGGAATTGTCTGTAGCTCAATTTTTGTGGGAAACTGTTTACTTCATTCAAAAGTTCTTGAGACTCTTGATATTTTTGTCTTCTCCTTGTGCTTTCCTATGGAAAAAATACATATATAGTTTGTTGTTAGATGTGAGTTATCCAACTATTTATTTTGTGCAATGTATAAGAATGCTAAATAAAATATACAAGATCAAGTTTTTGTATGTTATTTTTTTCCAAAAGTAATTTTTAGGTAAAGATCTTACATTTTAAGATTTAAACTTTTTTTAAGAGTTTATAAACAAACATCCACATTTGAGTGGCTCTTTTAAACCACATAAGTAGGCAATATCTTAAATAGTTTGAATTTTCTTGGCAAAACCAAAAAAACTGGGCTTAATCTTATGGGGGAAAGATAGCCATAATTAGAAATATTTTGGTAATTAATGTGATTCTTAACCTTTTGATTCCATGGCAACTGAGAAGTGATATCTGCTGTTTAGTGGGTAAAGGATGAGGCTGTACACAGCCAAAGAAAACTGCCTCAGGGGTAGATGCAGTGTTACATTTCTAGGAAAGTTATAAAGACTAATCACTATAGACTGAATATATATTAATATAAAACAAATTAACTGATTACTTATATGCATGTTTCGGGAGCTATTTCTATGTCTTCATCATTCCTGTTGGCCAAAATCCCAGGAATCAGTTAAGATCACCACTTAACTGGCTGAAAGTTGAATTTTTCTGCTTCACTTTGGTGACCTATGGCATGCCCTCTCTTAGCACCATTAATCAAGTAACTTAGAAGAGGAGAAATTTATAAAACAAAGCAAAATACTTTAAGCTTGCTCATTGTTAGTTTCATCTATAATAGAAAGATCTGACACAATGCCATCATTCTGAGAATAGCTGCTACCCTCTCAACCTCTAAATTGCCACCCTTCAAACAGCTCTCCCCTTGCTAGATAGAGTTTTGTAAGTGTCAGAAAGGAATCCTACATAAAACAAAGGATGTCTTGAAGACTTCAGCTTTCCTATAAAAAAAGAAATATATTACCTGGGAGTTAGATAACTCACTCTAAACTACTTTTTCTGAGCTAACAGTCACATTAATGCAGTTTTTCATAAGTTTGTCAGCTTTATTAACTAAAGGGAAAATAAGTGAATAATTATTCCAGTAGGCCTGTAAGGAATAATACAAATAAAAATAATTATGCTATCAAATCATATTTCTAAAGGGTAAGGTAATGTAAGCAGCATTTACATATAGCTCACACGTGGAAGGTTGGGAGATATATCTGCTTAGGTAAGAATAGAAGTCAAGCTACTATAATTTCCAGCATCATATTACCGTGTAACCTATACACCTAATCTCTCTTGAACATCAGCAAATGACATATCGGAAGGAACTCATCTAAGAATTTAACCACCTGTTGTCTTCAGTACACTGAGAGGTCTGATTTGGATAGTCTGTAACAGGAGTTGGCAAGATTTGGCTTGGCCAGTTGCATGTTTTGTGAATAAAGTTTTATTGGAACACAGCCACATCCATTTGTTTACGTATTGTCAATATGGGCTTTTGCACTACAATGGCATGGTTGAATAGTTCTGACAAAAACTATATGGAAGGTAACCTGAAAATATTTTCTCTCTGGACTTTTAAGAAAAAGTTTGCTATTCCCTGGTCTTTGGCCTTGTGTTTGAGTATTTGAAAGCAAACAGATCATATATCTTATTAAAATGCAGACCTCATTGAAAAGGTCTAAGAGTAAGACCTGAGATTCTGTGTTTCTGAGAAGCTCCAGATGATGCCAATACAGCTAGTTTGCACAGTCTACTGATAGTTCATTGGTTCTCAGCCTGGGTTGATTATGCCCCACAGAGGACATTTAGCAATTTCTGGAGACATTCTGGGTTGTTACAACTAGGAGGAGGTACTAATGACACCTAGTAGATAAATACTGGGAATGAAGTGAAACATTCTACATCACAGGACAGCTCCCCGACAACAAATAATAAACCAGCTCCCAAATGTCAATAGTGTTGCTGTCAAGAAATCCTGCATTAGAATAGTTACTGACTTTGAATGCACATCAGAATCAACTGGAAAGCTATGATAAATATCAATACCACTTCTACTTTGGCCATGAAAAATGGATATCAAACTTCCCCTTCTGCTGTAAAAAATCCATAAACAAACACAAACAAAATTAGACGAAATATATGAACTAGGTATCTAAAACAAGGATATGATAGTTGAGGAAAGGAAAATAACACAGACCTAGGAAAGGCCACAATTTTATTAAGATTTACTGCAGACTGGACCAAAAAACCTGAAGAGAAGTTATAAAATGATCAAGTTGAATCACCAGTAAGTTAACTGTCTGTCAGAACTAAACTCAAACTCTAAAGAAATAACAATAAAATCTGGAGTCTAAAGACCACAGCATCCACAACGTTCAGCATATAATAAAACTATAACACATCAGATGCAGGAAATGTGACCCATAACCAGGAGAAAAAACTAACAGAGATTGAGAGCTGATCCAGATGGTACAAGTATCAAACAAGGACTATAAAACATCTACATAAATACGTTCAAGGAATTAAAGTTGAACATAATTAATGAACAGATGGGGGGAGGCGGAATCTCAACATACAAGAAATATACTTCTGGAATTGAAAAATACAAGGTATAAAATGAAAAATTCATTGGCTAGGTTTAATAGCTGATTTGACAGTCAACTAGAGGTCAGGCTAAAAAAAAAAAACCAACCTGAGATAGAGCAAGATAAAAGGATGATAAAATAGTTATTCAGCTGCCTATGAAAAACGTCAAGTAGTCTAACATGCTTGTATTTGGATCTCAGAAAAAGAAATAGGAGGGATTAAGTCATGAAACAAATTGATGAAATCATACAAAACCTTTCCAATTTGATGACAAATAACCCATTGATAAAAAGTAACTCAATGAAGCCAAAGCATAATAAAGAGGGCCAACCTTAGAAAACCAAAGATATCAAGCAAATCTTGAGAGCCTCAGAAAGAAATAGATTATATATAGGGTCAATGATAAGAATAACTGCTAACTTCTTACAAAACAAACAAAACCCCACCATACCTAGGAAACATCATTTTTAAAGTTCTGAAAAAGAAAGATTCCATATTCAATTAAGCCTTCTAAATTAAAATGAGGGGCATCCAATTCTAGACAAGAAAGAGAAGTATCCGACCTTATTCTATTAATTAAAGAATGCACAAAAAGCACCTATCAAAACCTATGAAAATTGTAGAAATGACCCTCACTTGGATCTCCTCCCACCTTGTGCTTCAGTACCTCCTATTATCCCAGCCTGGGCCATAAAACAGCCTGCAATCTGGAAACAGCAATATGTATAGACTGAAAAAAAAAAAGAAGGCCATGACAAACTTGCTCTATCTAGCCAATAGCCCTAGAGTGTGAGGTCTACAGGACAGAATCCTTTTATACCTGCTGTACCCTAGGTGAACATGAAAGAAGCTGCACCTTTCTTTCTTCTTTCTTCTCTCCAGGTGCTGTGGAAATGGGGGAGGGGAGGGTACAGTCCTGTTGAATATCACCACCGTGCACTAACCAGGGAGCACACCTATCCCTTCCCATCAAGCACTGTGGAGACGGGTAGAGCCCTGTTGAACATCCCCACATTAACCAGGTGATACCCTATCCCACCAGGTGTTAGGGAAATTGTGAGAGAGAGCTCCGACAACCTTTCCCAGCCTGTATTACTGAGGTGGTCCCCCTTCCCTTTGCACCAGGAGACTACCAAACTGTAAGGCAGAATCATATAACCTGTTCCTCCCTGCACTAACAGGCAGATGTGGTGCCTCTCTTCTTCCCCACCAGACACTGTAGAGACCGTAGTAGAGTCCTACCAACCTTCTCCATTTTGCATCGAGCAAACATCAGGAGAGCAACTGCAACCCTCCACACTGGCCTCAGAAACTGGAGAGGCGCTTTCCCTTTTGACCATGCCTGCTGTGCATTAAACAAACAGCAAAGAGTTGCTGGCATCCCACATCTCCCTAACTAGAAATCTCTGTTCTCAGTAATTGATTTAACTACTAGAGCGAAAATCAGCAGAGATATAAAAGAAATTAGTAACGTCACAAGCCAATAGGATCTAGCTATTTATAGAATATTTCACCCCCAAACAGGAAAATACATGTTCTTTTTCAACTGCAACTGGAACATTAAACCAGACAGACCATACCCTATCTCATAAAACAAACCCTAACAAATTTACATTGTCAGACTGTAATATGATTAAACTAGAAATCAGTAACTGAAAAAAAAGTCTTCAAATACTTGGAAATTAACACATTTCTAAATAACAAAGGTATTAAAAGATGGCTCCAGGGACAATGGAAAATAATCTGAACTGAACAAAATAAAAAAATATAAATATTTACAGGATGCAGTACAAACAGGGTTTAGTAGGACATTGATAGCATGGAATACTTACATTAGAAAAAACAGTGGGTTCAAATCAATAGCCTAAGCTTCTACCTAAACTGGAAAAAAGGGAAAAAAATATACCAAGATCAAGCTAAAGGAAAGAAATAATATAAAAATCTCCAAATGCTTTAAAATATAAAGACCCCTTTAAATGAGTCAAAGAGACCCCAGGAAAATTAAAAAATACACTGAATTGAATGGAAATGAAAATACAACACATCAAAATATGTGGGACCTAGCTAATGTCATGCTAGTACTAAATACTTATATTAGAAAAGACAGAAAGTCTCTGTTTAATAATATGTTTCCACCCCAAAAAATTATAAAAAGAAATGACAAGTATGTGATATGATGGATTTGTTTTTTAGTGTGAGTTAAACATCCTACAATGTAGACATATATCAAAGCATCACATTGTACCCCATAGATATGATATATATATATATATATACACACACACACACACACACAATTATATTTGTCAATTAAAAAAAGAATTTCAAAAATTTTAAAAAGAAATTCAAAGCAAGCAGAAATGGAAATTAGAGCAAAAATCAATAAAATTGGCAATTAAAAAATACAGAAAAATCAGTCTAAAGCTGGTTCTGTGACATGA